GGCAGCCAAAGATTAAACCTGAGCCTTGTGTAGCAGGAAGAAGCCTGCCCCAATATTCAAAACACCTGGCACCTAATCACCTCATGATGTGTGGAGAGTATAAAGAGAGTTGCCTTATGCTGGCATTTGGTCACATGCTGTTGGGAAGGTCGCTTGGAAAGCATTCAGGTCTTAAGCTCTAACATCAGTAAGTAATGTTTCTCCTTCTGCATAAGATCTACAAATTCAGTGTTTGATTTGAATTGTTTAAATCTAGAAACCACTGGAAGTCTCCTGCTTGGTACTGGGGTGTGGCTGTAATTCACCCTCCCCAGTGCAGTTTTCACATAAAACGGGTATGTATTGTTTTATTGCACCCATACAGCTCCATAACACCAAAAATAACAATTATTCATATATAGAACATATTGGAAAGCTGATCCTCCTGCTATGGGCTGGAAAGGATCCTCTGGTTTGAGGTGAAGTCATCCAGCTCTGGTAAGTGACAATGGTTTCCTCTGGCTTCCATCTTCTGTAAATCACCTACTAACCTTTTGATTCAATTCCAGCTCTGACACTGCTGCAGCTCACTGGAGACCCTGCTGTTTTGTTTCACTGTTCTTTCGTTTAGTTTATCTTGTTTCATTGGTTGATTTTTGTTTCATTTTTGTAACTGTTTTGTTTAATTTGTTTTGTTTAGTTGCTTAGTTTTGGGTTTTCTTTAGTTTAAATTTACTTTGGAACATTCTATTGTTTTGTGTGGCCTCTAGCCTTGCTGCAGGTAGCAGCCATGAATTATTTTAGACTATTCTATTAAAGCATTGATGATTTTAATTGGTTATGTTGGAGGTAACCTCATTTTAGTCTGGCCAAGTTTAAATTGTAGTATTATTTTGTATTTGCTTGTTTAACCCCACCCTTTTGTCTCCAGGCTGAGTGCTGAAGGTAGTGGGAGGGGCCTCCTGGGAGACTGGAGCTGTCTGCCGTGCGAGTGGCCGGTGTTGGGATTTCTTCACGATTGAATGCCTGTTCACAAGTGTTTGGGGTGATTTATTTTGGATTTATAATTTATTTTAGGACCAGTTCCCATGTGGACCGCCCTCCCCCTGCTGGTAGGCCTCAGTACTGTACACTCCCTTCCTATTGTGTTCCTTATGTTGTCTCTTTTACATGAAACGATAAAATGTAATTCATTTTTTTGGAAAAGTCTGGTTCTCCTTGGTCACGAACCTCGAGCCTACTGGCAGTCTAATTCCTTGGGTGCAATTCCCAAGGTGGTGTTGTTGACAGCTTCTGGTTACCCTGCTGTGAGGAGCAGAGTAGCAGATCC